TAAAAATCTTTTTCGATTTCATTAAATTCCTTTTAGTATACTGGTTTGATAGTTTCTTTGGAGGTGAAGGAATTGAAGAAGGTGCAATTCTTGAATTTGAGTTTGTTAAAAATGGGTTGGAGAAGGTATGGAGTATTTGAATAATTTTTTGATTTTGTCAATGATTTTAATAATTGTAGGGGTATTATTAGGTGCTAAAAGAAGTTGATTTGCTAATGTTTCTGTTTCGTTACAAAGGCTTTTATATTGTTTTGCATCATGGATTTGTTGTTGTTCCTCTTGGATTTGTTGGTCAAATGAAGATGTTCAAGTGTTTGATTGGGATGGTTAGTTGATGATAACAGTGGATTTGAAGAGTTAATCCAAATTGATGATGTTTTTGAAGTTGATAAATTGGAATTGGCTTGTGGATTTTATCTCGTTGATATCCATTAAGTTGGAGATAGTGATAGAATTGTCAAGTGAGTTGATAATTAATTGGTTGTGGGTAGTATTTGATTATAAAGAATTTGCAGATGGAAGGTCTAAATCAGATAATTTCATTGGTTTATACATTGTTTTACTAATTTTATTAGGATTTACATATTTGGATATGGCTGAATTAATAGTTAGAAGGTTTGCATGTGTATGTGTTTGAGTTGGTAAAGCAATATCACTTTTTTGGGAAGCAAGAGAAGTAATAGATGGTAGATTATTTTTAGGACAAGCTGAGTAGGATTTTTTGTTTTTTTCTATGAGGAAGAGAGAAATTCTTATAGGTGGTTGTAGAGTTTGATATTAAGTTGGATTTTTTTCATTTTTTCCACAATTTTACTGATGTATTGAAGTTGAGGGAAATGTTTCTTGTATTTGATAACTTGATATGGATTTGAAGATATTTTCCTTTGTCACCTTTTTTGATAGTTTCTATTATAAAATTGATGATTTATATATCATTTATAAAGCCAATTTCAATAATTTTTTCTATGATTTTTTCTTCTTTTACAATGAGAAATTAGTTAAAAAAGTTGATAAGATTTGGGATGAGAAAATTTCTTAAAAAGTCTGTTTTAATAATTTGATTATTAAAGAGGTTAAGGTAGAGATTTGAAAGAGTTGGTTTTAATTCTGATAAATAGTTACATATAGAAACTGTTTTTTATTGTTGTTTGAAGTGAAGTGCTCCATGTTAAAAATTATTTAGAGGTGTGGTATGCTTGAAGGTGCTTTGGATTTGAGGAGTTTCTTTGAAAAGCTATTACTAGGGCTTCTAACAATACTATTTTGATATTACTTCAATATCAATTTGATACTTAAATTTACTATAAAAACATATGAGTAGGTCATAACCCATATATTAAATTTACTATAGATCGGTACTATTTCAATATCAATTTGATACTTAAATTTATTATAAAAACATATGAGTAGGTCACAATCCATATATTAAATTTACTATAGATCGGTACTATTTCGATATCAGTTTAATATCAGTTCAGTACTTTTCAGAGTCCTAACTATTACTAAATAAGGAAATTTTAATAAAAAATTAATTTGTGAGAAAAAGTTTTTTTTTAAAATAAAATAGCTTTTTAAATAAATAAATTTTTATATTTAATTATAATTATTAATTTTAATTAATTACTAATAGTAGCTATATATAAAAATTTTTATTATTATTAAAATATAATTTTGTGTATCAACTAAAATATATTTATTGTAAAGTTTTTATTAAATATAAATAAATATTTAATAATAAATTTTATAATTTTTGTTAAAATAAAAATATTTTACATTTCATCAAACAAAAAATTTATATACTAAATAAAAATTTATAAAACTTAATATTTAAATACTTTAATAAATATTAAATAATATTTATTATTATTGAATTATTTGTTAAAACAGTAGTTATAAAAATCATATCAATGTTAAAAATAAAAAAAAAAATTAAAAATTTTTCATTCAAAAAAAATCTTTAAATAAAATAACAAAAGTTTGTTCAAATTTAATAAAATTTTAATTATATATAGAATGCATTATAAGAAACAAGTATACTTAATACATAAAAGTTATTTTTATTAATAAAATAAAAGATTTAATATATAACAATTATTTTTATTTAATTATAATAATTTTTATTATTATAGGAAAAAAACAATATAAAAAATAGATATTAAATTTAAAAGATATAAAAAATAGATATTAAATTTAAAAGATATATTAAATAATATTAAATTTAAAAGATATATTAAATAATATAAAATATTAAGATATAAATAATAATAATAATAATAATACTTTTATAATAATAATAATAATAATAATATTGTATTTTATTTTATTTTAAAATTGATCTTATAAAAATTTTATAATATCATATTATTGATATAAAATTTAAAACTTTGTTAAATTTATATATCTTTTTTAAAAATAATGTTTTTTTTGATAATATCATATGTATAATTCAGACAAAAGTAATAGATTTAGTATTTTATTATAATAATATATTTAGAAAAATGATATAGAATCTGGATTTTTAATTTAAAACACATTAAGTTATATAATAAAAATTATGATTATATTATATCTAATTAATTTTAGTGAATTAAAATTTTTTTAAAAAAATTATTTATAAATTGGATTTATAATTATATATATTTTTATAAATTTTGATTAAACGTTGAATAAAAATCTATATTAGCAAGCAAAAAAAAATCTATCAAATTATTGTTTTTTATATTAATTATTAAAAAAATAATAATAATGAATATTTATATTTTATTCAAGAAACAACTTTTACAAAAAATTTATTTATTTTTTAGATATATGTTAATTTCAGTTACAATATATAATTTTTTTTGTTATTTTTATAAACATTGAAAACAAAAAAACAGAAAAGAAAGTGATGATCATAATAAAATATAATTTTTTTAGATATTTTAATTATTCATTATAATAATTACAATATAAGTATACATATTTTAATATGATAATTCTATAGATTATATTTATTTAAACAATAAACGAATAAATTTAAAATCCGAATATTTGATTTTGTTTAATACATACGTATCTAGTTTACTTATAAACATTGTTATATAATTTCAAATCGAATCAGAGTTCCAAGAGATACTATCAATATACAAAATTAAAATGATTGATCAATGATTAAATATAGTATACACCGTATATGATATATTGAATCAAAATTACTTTAAGACTAACATTAAAATTTAATATAAATATAGTATAGATAGATAGATAGATATGTACTGTAAGATATTAGATGCAATCTTTAATGCTTTAACAATATAATTCTAAAAAGATTTTTGTAAATACAGGTATCTTCAAAATCACATTGCTATTTACTGTATATGCATATCATGGTTATTTGATTTTGTTATTTTTTATGATTTTGTAATTTTCGATTGTATTTATGAAACCGAATCCAAGAATTCATTAAAACCAATTTATCCTGAAGAATATGTGAACGCCAATTTGATCATTTAAAAAACAAAATACAACAGTAGTTTAAGTTTAATAAATACATACGGTAGATGGATATGCAGTAGATTAAATGTAATCATCTATATACAGTATCATCAATAAAATTTATTTGCAGTATCTAACGAAATACTGTTTGATAAAAAAGTTTGTATGATCAAACGTTTTCTGGTCATATGGAGTATAAAATAGGAATTTTAATTTTTATGCATGACGTCCGGTACATATGAACAAAAAAACCATATATAGTTTTACCATAATATAGTTTATTATTTCTTTAAACAATAGTAAGAGGAAAAAAGGGGTTTTTTTTTTATTTGATCAAGATAAAACAATCAATGTGCTGTCATTATGCCTCGTAATTGTTTGCTTATGTGCCAATTGAAAAATTTTTCATGGTTTTCACGTACTCGTACTTTTGCATACCATATAATTGGTTTTTTAAATAGGATTCTGCAAATAGTACAGGCTATAATCGCGAAGTGAAATAAAATTAAGGTTAGCATAGACATTTCTGAATAGCTCGCGGCAATTTAATTTTTTATAAAAGAATTGATTCCATCGAATGGCGTCCGTTTGTCTTTCTTTCTTTAAAATCGCGTTCAGTGACGCGTTTCATACTACTTATTTGGCCAAAGATATGCAAGCAAACAGATCTAGGAATGTACCTCTCAGCATCATTCGGCTCTCACGAAAAAAAATCAATTGTGTGAACAAAGTTCGGGTTGTTCAAAGGGAATGTGTGTATCCGTTCACCGGAGCACCGATAAAATTCAAACGTGAATGCCGATCATTCATTCACTTTTGGTTTATCGCGTCCCGCAACAATATAAAATGATATACCCGACCATGAGAAAATGCTTAAACTGGTTGTACACAGAAAAAATAGAGTCATCATAGTATGCGGGAAGATAAGGTTTTATCTTTTTTTTTTAACGATGATACAAGATGTGACAGGCGTGATCACCCCCACAGATCACCAAAAAAAGGCCGACCTCTATTTAAGTACTTTACGGTACTATATATAGGTTTGGTTGCTATTTATAGAATGCTAAAACTTTTTGCGTTGGGGAGAACCCGTTTTAGAATCGTCAACTGATCGTAAATCGCAAAAAAAAAAAAAAAATATCAAAGTTTGGGAATGGATGACTTTAGAATAATGGGGATGATCTTTATTAGCTTTCGGAAATCAAACGCCGGATATGTAGGGCCCATAGATGGTGGTATCATTACACCGATTAAAACATGCAAGGTATTTTTGTGTAATTTATAAATAGATAATAATTTCCGGAACACACGTTTTTCATCGTCTAAATAAAGATGCTTTGTAACAGTGAGGTAATGATAATAATAATAAAATGAGTAGATTCACAATCTATTATTGGTCATTTTTGTGAACTTAATATAACTTTGGGCTTACGAAAAAGCATGCATGTATTGGGTCTTTGTTGAAACCAATTTCATGAAGCGCCGTTGCCTTATTGTACATAATGAGTCCAAATTTGATAAATTGTTTACAACGCTTTTCTCATGAGTTCCTGACCGCCAAATGAAGGTACATCGGATGACGTTGCAGCTTCCTCCGACGGAACAACGACTCAGTCGGATGACAAAATTTTTGTGTACACACATACAGTACATCTTGAAATTTGCAATCAGAATATTTGAACCGAGTCGATAAACGAATTACTGTGTCATACCAGAATTTCCTGGTTTGTGAACCTTTAATTTGATAACCCAAACAAATCTGTTACAGTAGTTGATCATCCCATTCACGAACGATATAGGAAACGTGATCCAAAAGTGGTCCTACTTATAAACAAAGAAGATGATCCTTCTTACGAATGTCTGTACCCAGAACCGATAATGGGAGAAGATAACGAGTTGTCAATTCAATGAACTTGAACTTTATCTTTGATCTTCAATCGATATTGACAAATTCTTTTATTGAAAATTGGACATGCGAATAAGCGTTGCACACCGTGATGGATAACATCGAAATATACAATGCGCAAATCTGAGAAAAAACAAAACTAGAATGTTGGACAAGCGACACGTAACATTCATTCACCTGAGGTTTGCACATTAACTTGGAGGATACGGGTTTTTTCGTAAACACATTATTTCGTAAGGCTGATGATACGCAGATATGCTGGCGCACGTTCGGATCTATGGGATCCATTCTCCTTCGGTGTTTCCCGAAGTCGTGTTCCTCGTTAATGTGAAGACACGACATGATAAGACGAATTTCCGACAGCACCACAGGTATGTCGAGGTCTTTCGATTAAAAAAAAGGGCACGCGGTAGGTAAAATGTAGAAAAATGCAAGACAGATGTGTAGGTAATCGAAAATAATAATTGTTTACACCGACACGAGTGAATGGTTACAATTATCTTATTGTATTGGTGCACTTTGACCGGACATCGTGATCGAGAAAAATAATTGGTGACCTGAATAAAGAGTGAGTACGATCATTTACGTACTCAATCGAAATTTCTTTCATATCGGCATCATTTAGTTAGCTCCGCGCACAAGTTACGATAAATTTCGCTTGTCATTGTTTTCCTGTGATATTAAGGTGTAATGTCAGAAGATCAGATAATTATTTGTTGTTTTAATAGAACTTTCCGACTGTAATGAAAACGACTATTACATACATATTTGTTTTTAATAATTCTTTAATTACTTGCTAGCTAATGAGAGTTAATTGCATATTTTCAATATTACAAAACGATGGCGAGATCAGAGGAGGGGTGCATATGATTGAGAATATGCTACGTTCTCATTTTAAGCTTAAGAAGAATGTATGATCATGTACAGTGTTTCATCATCGCAAGCGCTAATTTTGCGGATGAAGATGCTGCAACTTTGTGCGGGTGTCGACACCTCCTCAGGAATCATTGCTCCGTAAATATCCATCTTCTGACAATATCGCCTACCTCTTTCTTTTTTTGAAAAAATGCGTGACCTACGCGCAAAGTGACAATAGCGCGCCCTTATGCGTATTTTTCTACGCATACATATTTTTCGATGGACAACATGGGTGTCTTCCATTTCAGTCAATGGTGTCAACACGACGAACTCGGTTTCATTATGTCATGTTATTGCTAATTGAACGATGATTGATGGATGTGGCTTTGGACCAATGTTTATCGCATGCATGAGTTAAAGCGTATACCTTATGTGCAACAATGAGGCGATAACCTAAAAGCTCGCTTGACATAATGCTCACTACATTTCCGGGCCTTCAGGGTGTTGTTTTTTTACATTACCAGTTCGCACCCGGTTGTTCCTTGATTCCTTCTCTTGAAAATAAATAAACAACCAATTAAATCCGATTATCGTGTACCTCTTCTTTTTGTCTCACTTGCGCATGTATGGTTTTATCATCTAATTTAAATTCACCAATTTCCTTTTCGGCGATGCATATGGGTCATTAGATGCAACCATTGATTACACAAATCAAAACTTATTAAGCAAAGATTTCTTGTCATATACGCATACAAATATTTATAGTAATCCATTTATACGATAATGGGGAAAGGGTTTCCTCTGTTTGGTATTTCGAAAGGCGGCTGAAGGCAACGGAACTTCGCCAAATCTCGACCGATGCGTTCTCAAAGGGTCCAAGCTCCGAGTTCCGACCAAAAATTGATAACCCATTATTGGATCTGCGTCCTTGAAAAGAATTCAAGAATATGGTATGGCACAAAAAAAATCAAAAGTTCGGTGAAATAGTGGATTGGCCAACAATAATGTACTGTGCATACAAACGCACATATGCATACATCCGTGCTGGCGTGCAAATTTCCAAACAAGAAATACTGTAGGTAATATAATACCATCAACACATTACATACATAACGTACATACACACATACAAATTATAATTTGTAGTGGTGTACCTTATGGGTAAATAAATAAATAGGAGTACGGTAAACATCAGAATATGTACCGTACACAACACATCAATCAAAAAAGTTTTATAAAATTGTTGCCTGCCAAGGCTGTCTCGAAATCTTTTTCGTGAAATATCTACGTCCACCTCCTGGTGCCAGTGACGTTTCAACTGAAGAAAGCTTCGACGAATTATTTTATTCTTTTCCTTATTATTTTTTTTTGCAACGCCGCTCGAGATTCCGTGGATGGCTTAGCCTAATCTATTTATATACATGTAATTGTAAAAGTCTTTTTTTTTTTTTTTTTTGAATGTGAATGCGATAATTGTCATCTTTCTGTTTTCTGACAAGGCTCTCCTCCCTTTTCTCTTCTATATACAGTAAAGCATCATTTCTTTTTAGCTGCGTTTGTAAACAATCATTCCCATTTTACATAATATTTTTTGTCCACGCGCAATTTTCAAAGTGTTTCCAGTTTTATCATCCTGTAGTCGTGGTTGGATAGTGGTGACCTGCCAATTCTTCCCCTTACCTCACACATATTCTTAATTTACATCTAAACTTTTCTTCCCAGATCACAAACCCCCTTACCTTACCTTTGTACATACGCTCCTCCTCTTGTTTACGTGCTTGCTACGTATACACACTTCTAATAATAACCTCAAAGTGTTGAGGGATAAAGTGCGCCCCGCCGGAAAACCTGGTTCTCCCGCAAGGCTCTCGCTCATACCTGATATCATCATATAATGCTCCGCGCTGATGTTTATAATTAATCTACTCTAAATTATTTGACATTAATTTCATCCCGTCTGTTACATCATCATACACTTAAAATTAAACTCATCACTCGAACGTTTTAAAATTAACCTACAAATTAAAATTCATTCTTTTTTATTCTTATTATATCATCATCATTATTAATTATTTTATTACTATTATTCTAGTTAAATTCATCTTTCTTTCCTTTTCCTTCTTTATCCTATTCATTTCACTTATTTACGTGATTTGGTTTCCTAGAATCACTTCACGTCATTGGTGTCTAAATATAAAATCAGACACCTTAATCATCCATCTTAAGCACCGTCTATTTTAATATTTAATTGGAATCGTCCCTCTGATATTCCTCATTCCAACCTCGTTTGCACAAGCAACTTCTTCTAATCCGGAAATTTCATAGTGAGTCCTTGCATATCGCGTTCCCACTTTACTCTTTGCCGACAAAAAACTCGTCAATTTATTGATTCCTTTAACGAACTTGCATTAACCCTTATCTTGCTAATACGTGCGATCAAACCAGACTAGGAAATTTCCGTCAGATCCAGATCTCAGTGACTAAGTTTAATTATGCAGAGAGGGGCCGATCAAGTAATGTCACCGCATCAGATGGTAAGCGGGTCCTTTTTTTTTCTTTTCCTCGGTAATCATCATCGTATATATACACATGTATGTGTGCGTGCGTGTGCATACTTTTTACGTGATCTTTAAAGAATTGGAATCATCTTCATCAAAAGGAAAAAAAGAATGAGAAATTTTTTTTAATTGTCCAAGTTAAATTTATCGATAAAAGAATTTCCTCCAAAAAAATTATTCTACCTTCTCAAACCGTTTATAATCAATACGCAATTATTTTTCCGGATCAACCATACAATTCGCCGTTCGTCAAAACATCCAACTCATTAGCATGCGTGTATTTAACCTTTTTCGTTCTCGCAACTTCAAACAGTATCCAGGTGTACACCAGAGAAATACCTCGAATCTAGACGCTCCAAGCGGTCCACGTCAGTTCCCAGATAGCACTCTCGTAAATAACAGGAAGAGCAATGTTAGCATTAGCAGCGTTGGCAAAGACGACTCTTTGAAAATGTCAAATAAATTCCTGGCACCCAATGAACCTGTCAAAATTGTGAATGGTCACTCGTCTCACACTCAAACCAACAACTACTTCTACAAGGACAACGCAAATCAACAATTCTCCCTAGAGACTTCGTCGTCGGCGAGCAGTGATTTCGTTGTTACCTCTTCACCAACACTGACCCCACCGGTCACCGAATCTGGTCGCTCCTCGATACTGTCAAGCGGCGCAAAGGGTTTCGCCGAGACCTTTTCCTCATCGAGCAACGACGAAGAGTCGAGCATCGAAAATGGCGAGGGTAGCGCGGACGGTATAAAAAGTGCGTCGGATACAATTTCTTCCTCATCAAAGCTGACCATACAAAGTTTGCAGCCCGCATCATTCTCTGAAACCTATTTACCCATAATAGATAACAGTCATTCAAGGAGTGAGCATCTTGATGGTGAGAAATCGATCAGCATGCCCTCAACCCCTTCTGACTCGAACCTACCGGATTCTTGGTCCTACAAGAATGATGAGGCGAATCACTCGCAAGGCGGTTATTTGACGCCGAGTTCTCCAACAAAGTTCAAACATCCCTACTCCTTGTCAACGTCTTCGGTAAATAAGATGGACGCCGAACAATCTCAATCCGATTATCATAACACCATAAAACCTTCTTTGCCAACATCACCAATCCCTCCGCAGCAAACTGAGAGACTCCTCTATCACAAAAACTCCCAATCTGGCGCTTACAAGTATAGCTACACCTCGAAGCTACGAAATAATTCGACCAACCTCAATCACAATACGGGTCAGAGGCATTCGGATACGGCGCCCATCGGTCCGATTCCTACCAGCCCATTCACAAACAACGGCGATTACATGCGGTCACATAGTTTCGACACGGGTGATCGGTCTAGGTCCGATGGTCCTTCAAATGGTCCTTACGGAATTCCCGGTGATCAAAAGTCTCCCACCGCTTCGATCCCCGCAAAACCCAGTAGCCCTCCGCACATTCCGAAACGTCGCGGTTCGACGCCATCAAAGAGCAAACGAATAGCCTCGCTATTCAAGAGGTCCAAGGAACAGCATCCCGATTACGTGAAAGCACTACAGGCCCTGGATGCGATGCGTTTTCAAGAAGCCATCACGTTGTTCACCAAAGTTCTCGTTCAATATCCCACGAGTTATTCGGTTCGATGCGACCGCGCATATGCTTCCTACCAGGTGGAGGAATGGGATCGTTCGCTGAGTGACCTGAACAATGCCATCTTAAAGAGACCGAAGAAGCCACGTGCGTATTCCTTGCGTGGTGAAGTGTACAGACTACTAAGGGACTATCAAAAGGCGTTGTACGATTTGAATAAAGCGTTGAGATTGCAAAGGAATGCCTTTTCACTGAGAGCTCGATCAGAGGTGTTTCATTCAATGCGTAGGTACGAGGACGCGCTCAAAGATTTGAACGAGGCATTGGAGCTTGAGCCAATGAATATATACACCCTCACGCGAAGGGCAAAGGTATACTGTTCGCTCAATCAATACGGGAACGCTTTAAATGACCTGGGCGAAGCGCTGAAATTTGATAGCGCCAACGCTCCGTCAATATTGGCCAACCGTGGTGAGATCTACCGAACCATAGGGAATTACGAACTGGCTCTCGAAGATCTAAATCTCTCGTTGAAAAGTGAGGAGAATACGATGGCGTTGGAAAGGCGTGGAAACGTGTATCGATCATTGAACAGAAATAAAGAAGCGTTGGCAGATTTCGACCGAATACTGAGTTTGAACTCACGAAGTTTCTTTGCTCACAAGAATAAGGCGGAGATCCTTCACTCAATGGGAAACCTCGATGAGGCATTGACACACATGAACATTGCGATACTGATAGAACCCACCCATTTTCCACTTCTGAAGTGCCGAGGGGAAATCTATCAAGCACAGAGAGATTACGATAAAGCCATACAGGACTTCAATTCGGCCTTAAAAATCAATCCCAACAGCGCCGAGGTATTAAGAAATCGAGGAGAAATCTATAGATTGCTACAGGATTTTAATAGTGCACTCGTTGATTTCACAAAATCCCTGGAGATCGAGCCAAAAGACGTTTTCGCGTTGGCCAGACGGGGCGAGGTGTACAGAATGTTGAAACAAGGCAACAAGGCTCTTCTAGATCTAGACGAAGCCATAAAATTGGAACCCGATAACGTCATGGCCCGAGAGAGTCGAGGTGCCGTGAATCGAACGTTCAGGCGATACGAAGAGGCCTTGAGGGATCTGGACGAGGCGATATATCTCAATCCCGATTCGATATTCGCGCTAACCAATCGTGGGGCGGTTTACTACATGCTGAAAAGACACTACGAATCATTGATGGACCTTAAGAAGGCATTGAAATTAGATCCCAAACACATCTTTGCATTGGAGACCCGAGGAGCGTTGTATAATGCGCTGGGAAGATTTGAAGAAGGTTTGGTGGACTTGAATGCATCTTTAGAATTGGATCCCTCCAACGTCTGGGCACTCACTTATCGTGGTGAGGCATTTCTGGCGTTGGGAAGATATGACGAGGCACTGCGAGACTTGAACAAAGTGCTGGAGGGATTGCCCGACTGGGGATATCCGTTAGCGTTGAGAGGTATCGTGTATCGACTAATGAGATCTTATACAAAGGCCACGGTGGACTTGGATCGAGCATTGCAAAACATGAAAGACAAGGCGTTCAACATTGACTACGAGACAAAAGCGTTGTGCAACAGAGGAGTAGTGCATCGCACTCTAGGCAAGAATCATGAGGCTGTAAGGGACTTTAACAAAGCGTTACTGAGGGAGCCGAATAATATATTTGCTTTATGTGAGCGGAGCAAGGTTTATGAGGCGATGGGCAGGAAGGAACGGGCGAAGGCTGATATAGAATACATACTGCAAGTCGATCCGAGTAATGAGTACGCGTTAGAGCGAAGTAAGAAATTTGAGGAACAAACATGATAACGCGCTTGCTTGGATTGATATTCAATAAGGACGATTCATCTGTTTATACTTTGTATCATTTTTTTTATTGTTTTTTTTTTTAAAAAAAAAAAGATTTCACATCATATAAAATAAATACATCAATTCGTCACGGCGTCGTTTATTAAAAACGGTAATTGATTACATAGTTTTAACGATTCAAGTGAATAACTACTGTAGTTGGTCGCGTAATTAAAATACAACTACTTTCTCGACTTCTCTTTTCAAAAGTACTCACTAGCAGAGCTTCCGATGTAGCTTCAGTACTTTAAACAAAATCAATTTACAAATAATATAATAGTTATAGTTTTAATTGTATGTATATTCTAATTGGATATTAGATATTAACCATCTAAATATAAATGATTGAATTATTGGTTTTTGGCCATGCATACTGTACTTTTATTCTTCACAAATACTTATACGTGATTAACTAAATTTGTAAATTTGAATAATTCGTTAATAAATTAAATTACTTGCATGTGCTTTTTAAACAAGAAATTTAATAATACAGTACAGTACTACCGCTGTTTCACACGATCTATTTTAAGTAAATTTATTCTTATCTTTAAATTTTGTGGTATAGAAAGAATCTTCGGTTTTCACGAAGGCTCACAGAAATCATCATTATTTACTGAACTTTATGAAATAATCTATTTAATATACGCACATGCATTAAAAAAAAAACAAAATTAAATTAAAAAACCAATTGGGGCCAACAAAAATCGAAAAAAAAATGTTTTTAAAAAAACAATAAATAAATAATAAATCAAATCTTTTGTTTTTTGATTTTCAAAATAATTTCGAACTTTAACTTTTATCGATATTAAAAAAAAAGCAATTGAATATTTTAAAACGATTTTTAAAGTCCAGCATTAACTATTATTTTTTATTATTTTTATGATAATTAAAAAAACAATTGCTTTTTAAAATGTTTATCTTCATGTTAATAAAAAATTTGATAAAAGAAATTGATTTGATTAGATTTGTTTTCAAATGTTTATTTATTATTATTATATTTATTATCAAAAAAAAAAATTGGTTTTTAAGTTAAATGGATTATAATACTAGTAGGAATAATTTTTTTTAATTTTTTAGAAGTTAAAAAATATTACATTTATTATAAATTCCTTGATATATAATATTGTTTTAAACTTTCTTTTCAATATTAGTCATATGGTTACTGTAGGCAAGTTAGCATTTAACTCATTCTATCAACATATGAAAGATGTTGTTTCTTTCACGATGTATACCTTGCTATATACAAATAAAATAAAGAAATGATATTTACCTACAAAAAAAAAAAAAAAATTCCTTGATATATAATTATTTTTTAACAAATTAAACTATATAAATTTATATTAGTTAATAGATCCATACTTTGAATTAAATACTTTAAAAAGTAAAAAAATTTGTTGATTTTAAATTATTGATAATGTTTTTTATATTACATGTTTGATATTTTATAAAAATTAATCAAAATACAGTTTTAAAGATTTTAATTAATAAATAAATTTGCTTGTTTTATAATAGTTTAAAAAATTAAAAATTGTATTATTATTTAATAAATATTAATTTAAAAAATTTAAATATATTAAATATACAGTATGGTATAAAAAATTTTGAAATTATTTATTTATTTATTCATTACTCAAAAACTACTACATGAAATTAATAAAAAATATATCAAAATAAAGCTAAAAATCTAGAAGTTTTATTAATATACTAGTGTGTTTGCCTGGGCTATGCTCCGGGATTAAAAATTTCAATGTATTTTATATATTAAAATATATTAAATTTGAAGTTATATATTATAATAATATAATATAATTATTAAATTCT